TGCCATCTAAATTTTTTATTTTTGTTTCAGATTTTTAGCTTAAATTGTTTGTTCAAAACGTGGTTTTTGCATGTTCGAAAATTTGGAGACATTTTAGGCTTTAAGTTCAAAACATAGACAAAAAATTTAGATAGTAATATGGCACCATGGAGTTTCTTGCCAAAAATGTTTCACGAGAAAGTTGTTTCCGCATTCGGTGACTTGAGGGCGCATATAAGAGTAGTACCCCACAATTTTACTTACCAAAATTTTGCATTTTCATTTCAAACCTAAAACCTAAAATGTCTAAAAAAAAAAACATTTTTGCAAATGATTTACGCTAAAAGTCCGAAATAAAAACAAAAAATGGTAAAAGTATATTTAAAGGTACCCCTTGGTGAAATTTGGGGATATATGAATACAGAGTTTGTGCAATTCTTTGACTTGTTATTTTGGATTTTTGGCCAAAAATCGGTGCTACACAAAACCAAAATAACAAGACAAAGAATTCCACAAACTCGGTATTCATGTACACATCGACCTATTTTCATTTTTAAAAAAAAATCGTCCAAGAATTGCACAAAAATGGCATTGTGCACTCCCTTGACTTTATCCATGTACACATCGACCTATTTTCACTTAAAAAAACATCAGAGAATTGTACAAACTAGGCTTTGCAAACTCCCTTGAGTTTACTCATGTACACATCGATATATTTTCACTTAAAAAGTCAAAGGAGCACCCAATTCTACAGTAGAGGCAAACAAAAAATACATAATCTCAATAAACTACATTTAAAACCAAACAATAAAATAACATAAAAAGGAAAAACCTGTTATGCATTTAAGCACTACACAAAACAAATATCCACTCACCTTATTTAGAAATTTCTTCATCTTCAGTCTATGGCACACAAAATTCCTTAACAGCACCCAAAAATTTCCTAAAATTATCTGAACTAGAATCCGTATATCGGCGTTGCCACATAAATTCACAAAAATAAGAGTAAAAAATGTCCTACATAGTTCTGGACTGTCCAGAAAATGGCGACTAAGTAAACCTTCATTTACACACCAGTCAATTAATGCACTTTTCTTCTTTCGTTCCAAATAGTACAGAAACTTCAAATAAATCTTACTACATTCAGCCATTCTGCCGTCTAAACAATGAAACAAGCAATCTACTTTCTAACCAACACACACCACAAAAGCCCTTACAAAACATCACCTGATCCATATTTCCCGGAATAATGCAAATGATTATATCATAATAGGGTTTCCATAACATTCAACTACTCAGGTTACCATAAATGAAACAACAACTTGGCAATAAATGGAACAATTTGGTGATACATGAAACAACAACTTCACGATAATACAATGGGTACCCTAAAGTCAACTATAACTCTCTAAAATATTTAGACAAGTATGAAATTTCTCATCAAATTTAAACTGTAAAATTTTACAATTGGATGCCTTTTGTTGTTTGGCGATTCTTTTTTTGATGTCAAGATCAGCGCCAGGAAGACAAATTTCAAGATGGCCGCTACACAAAACCAAAATAAAAAGTCAAAGAATTGCACAAACTCAGTGTCTGTGTACACATTGATGTATTTAAAAAACATCTAGGCTAGCATAAACTTCGCGTTGCGCACTGCCTTGACTTTGTCCACGTACACATCGACTTATTTTCACTTTAAAAAAAAAAAAAAGCAGAAAGCTAAAACCAAGTTAAAACTATCATGGTAAACAGAAATGAGGTTTCATCATGAAAACTTAACAAAATTTGACACAAATTGAAGGGGCACCCAATTCCACACTACAGCCATTTAACAATAAATTCTAAGCAATTTCAACACAAATAAACTAAAAAATTAAAAATAATAACACAAAATTAAAACAATGCAACAATTAAAATAACTCTCTACAAAATTAAAACAATAAAAAAGCAAATTCGGTTGATCTTTACTGTACCAGTACCCCTTGGTTTGTATGCGAAAAAAAATCAGCAAGTGGCATTGGTTTTATGTGAAATCTGGAAGCCTGCTGCCTGAAATAGGTTCAGTAACCCTAATGTTGATAATGTTGGCAAAACTAGCCTTGGAGAAAATTGTGCGAATATCGCCAAATCTGTTGGGATAAATTGAAATTTTGGCTGTTTTTTGTAATACAGTCAAAAGTCGTTAATTCGGACACCCATAATTCGGAATGATCTATTATCCGGACCTCAAAGCTAAAAACGTTCTGCGCATGCGCCGCGTTGACACATGCGCTTACGCGTGCGCGTTTTATGTATACGGACGGTGTAAGCTAAAATTATCTAATTATCTATTTCAGTTAATGTTGATGATTGCGTTGTTCCTTAATTTTCGAATTGTATCCGGCTTATTATTTTTTGCAGCCTGTAAGAGCAATACTATAAAAGTAAACTTGAACTTTCGATTATGTCAAATAGAATTTTTGATTCTGGAGCTCCCAAAGGATCGTACAAAACGAAAGTAGTTTCGATGTCCATCAAACAAAAAGTGGAATTGCTTCAAAAAATGGATAAAGACATGAAGAATGTGACAGAGAGGTTAGTGAAAACGAAAAAATTTCGATTGACAAGTTAGTCGGTATTCTCGGCACAGCAATTAATGGGACTTGAACAGCGGAACTTTGTAAGTGAACAAAAAATTATGTCTGTTTATAGAATTAAAGAGAATTTATTATCACATAAAACGAAACAACTTAAACAACTTACACTGAAAGAAATGTTTAATAAAGTAAACAATAAATATAAGCTTAAGCTTTTTTTTTTTTTTTTTTTTGTAAATTTTGATACCCTTTAGATCATAATTGTTCTTTATTTCATAAATTTACGGTTTCATATTTTTAATTTTAGAATTTCTGCATGCCATCTTACGCGATTTAAACTGATGATCTACAATCCGGAAAAATTGATAATTCGGAATCGCCGAAGTCCCGACGAGTCCGGATTAACAACTTTTGACTGTAATAACCTTTTCGTATGGGCTGTTTTTTTATTATTATTATTTTATTATTATTAGCATTCTTTTCAATTGCTGTGTTTGGTTGCACATGTGTAATGTTTTATAAAAAAGGTGCCTGAAAGGTCGTCTGAAAGTTTGCTTAGTGTTATAAATGAGTATATTCTTTACGGATACGACTATAATTTCCAACTGCTGGAAGACGTACAATTGCCTTTCAGATGAAGGCTTTGGACACTTAACAGGAAATCATAGTCTGCAATTTAAGGATCCGGATACATTAATAAAATAGAAGGAATGTGGAGTGCAGTTAAACGTGGTTCAGCCAGGAAGAAAACAAAAGACGGCTTGGACTATTATTTGGCCGAATATGTGCGGCACAAGAAGGCCCAAGGAAAATAAATCTATTTATGGCTTTCTTGAATGCTATTGTACGTATTTAGCCGCCATTAACGGCGGATGAGCCAAAGCGACCAAAAATTGACATTTCATTTATTTATTCATCTCTATGTGTTAATTTTTGTTAAAAGATTTGTTGTTTAATGTTTTTGTTAAGAAATATGTATTTTTGGTTATTTATTACTCTCTGTTTATGTACTTTTGGTTATTTGTTCGTCTCTGTGTTGTTAAGACAGCAGTAAATTTTTTCTGGTTAACATGATAGTTTTAACTTTGTTTTAGCTTCCTGATTTTGTTTAAGTAAAACAAGATCGATGTACACATAGAGAAAGTTAAGGCAGTGCGCAATGCCTATTTTGTGCAATTCTTTGTTTTTTTTTTTTTTTTTTTTTTTTTTTTTTTTTTTTTTTTTTTTTAAGTTAAAATAGGTTGATATGTACATGGACAGAGTGCAATGCCTATTTTGTGCAATTCTCGGATTTTTTTTAAAGTTAAAAATAGGTTGACATGTACATGGACACGGAGTTTGTATAAGTCTTTGATTTCTTGTTTTGGTTTTGTGTAGCAGGAGGAAGGTTCGGCCCCATCTTGAAATTGGTGCCGATCCTTCCTGGCGCCAATCTTGGCATAAAAAAAAAAGAGACGTTTCACAACTTTTATCGTAGAGTAAATTTTAACCACAAATTCACTTACCATTCAAATTACTTCCCAAAAAAAGCATAATTTCAAACAAAAACTTCTAAGGACAGATATATCATGTATATAATCTAATATACTTTCATTAATAAAACTACGCCAATCACATAAAGCATGTGAACCAAAATGCCATGACTTTAGCTATACCAGATGTCTTTCTACTATTCAAAATTTTGGTACTTAGGTATTAACACCACTGCACTTCTACCCTTCTTAATAAAATTATTGAAAACATTCCAGATGGTATCAGAATAATTTATTCCGACAGTTGGAAAAGCTACCATACAAATAGAATTGAAAAAGAAGGATTCCTACATGCTAAAGTTAATCATAAATACAATTTTATTGATCCTTATACAGGAGTTCATGTACAAACAGTTGAGAGAATGTGAGGCAGTGCTAAATGGAGGAACAAGAGAGATATAGGGGGGACAGCAAGACATCATTTAGAATCTTATTTAGTAGAGTTAATATGGCAACAGCATCAGGTCAAAGAATATAGAGACCATTTTGAATCTATGTTAAAATCTATATCGGCCCATTTTCCACCGAAATCCGATAAATTACAGTTTCATATTTTTAATTGTATAATTTCTGCATGCCATCTTAGCAGATTTAAATTGATGCTCTATAATCCGGAAAAACCCCTAATCCGGAATCGCCGAAGTCGCAATGAGTCCGGATTATGGACTTCATACTGTACTAAAGAATTTTTAAATATCTGCAAAAATTTTAAATTAGGCTTAAAGTACTTGTATTAATTTCATATAAGCATTCTAAAAATTGTCAAACAATAATTATCTATATATTTTAGTTACACTTTCTCATGTGTCCTCTCACATAAAAACATTTTAAACATGTACTAGCAATATTAATGAAAGAATATACCATACTTTTTGCCATTTATAAATTAAAAAAATACCATTAAATCACTTACCTCTATAAAATCAATTGCATGATCACAAACAAATAACTGGCTTATTTCTTTAGATCCGATATTCCAAATATAAAGCTGGTTTTCTGCAGCGTATGCCTAAATACATAATTTGAAAAAGAAAGAGATAAAAACCTCACTCTATGAAAGTTTATCATTTTATAAAAAATATGAATAGTCTTAGGTTTGCAATTTTAAAATATATCATGCAAATTTTATATTTTCACATCTGGTATTTTTCAGTGAATTTCACAACACTGGCTGATTTTTTTCCACCTATATTAACAATGACTCATAATTCTTTTTTCATGAGAACAGTGCCGAGTATTCCATTTGTTAATAAATTTTCTTAAAAACAAAAAAAGAAAATGTGGTACAGCTTGAATGAAAAAAAAATATTGGAGATTTTTTGGCGTAGTATACTTTTCAAGTGTTTGTGTTTCTAGCAACCCATCATATTCTAGAATGCTACATTTAGGCTACCCTTTTTCTTCATAGTAGCAGTGTAAAGGAAGTTTCTTCTCCATTAGACGTGAAACGAATCTATTGATTTCTTTAATTTCATTTTATTTCACATTTTGTATATCTTCTTATTACGATGTCATTCGTTTTAAGGGTTATTCAAAAGTTTCAATGAATGTTAACTGGGAATTTAAAATTTCAATTTTCAAATAGAAGGACAACGTTAAGAAAATGTGTGGTTGAGAATGGGTTCTTTATTTTTCATTTATGACAAGATCAGTAGTTTTCTTGGATTTTTTTTAAAGTAAGCAAATTTAATAAAGGGAGAATATATATATGAGAAGCAAAATGTTGATGGATTATAAAAATTTCCTGAAATTATAAAGGATATAAACTGGGCAGATTCAAAATTTCTTTGTAAACTCATCAGGATATTGTAAATTTTCATTTCCATTTTTTTTAAATTTAAACATGCATTCTAAACTTCTGTTTTTAAGTTTACAGCTTAGAACATGCATTCTAAACTTGAATTTTCAATGTTACTACTGACAACATATATTCTAAGTTTGCATTTTAAATTTTACTCCTTAAAACGTGCAGTCTAAATTGTATTTTCAATTTTAACTGCTAAAAATGAATTTCTTAATGCTTTCCCATTGGTTTGGCAATTTGGTAGCCTCCCAAAAAATTCGTGAATAGGGGTCCTATATGCAAGCTGTTCCAAAAATGTTTAAAATTTTTATTTACTGAGAAGATGCTAAATCTTTCTAAGACTCTACCTTGTAGCTAAATATCTGAAAATGGCTTTTAAATAAGACCTTATGAAAAACAGCTATCGATTGGAATAGATTTATGGCAGAGGTGTATTGAGTCTAATCTGGCAATCTAATAAGCAAATATGTAGACAAAAATCTGTTCGCACAAGGAAAAAACAAAGCCAGTAGGGTTCTTCTGCAATATTGGATGTTTGGTGAATTATGCCAAGAAAGTGATGAATTCTTTCTTGCTTGGGTTTGGAATAAAGAGACAAGTACACTCATTGCCAAAATTGTCAACCATGTGCAAGAGTGATCAATGATTTATTCTGACTGCCTTTAAGCATGTAAAACAAAAGACTTGGAAAAAGTAGATTAGAGGCATTTTACTGTAAACCATAAATTTTATTTTGGTTGATCTTTGGATTATGGTAACTTTGTGGTTTTTTGGCGAAAATTTGGCAACCAACTCTGCTACAGCAACCTTCTACTTCTTCTTTTTTCTTTTCTTTTTTTTTTTTTTTTTTTGCGGCCATTTTGTCTTTACGAAGTAAAAACATGGTTTCTTTTCTTTTTATTTACCTGAACACTATTTTCCAACAATCTGCTAGTCAAATTGCACTTATGCTAGAAATTTTATGGAACAAAACTGCTTAATCATAACAAATATTAACTGCAAAATTGTGAAAACGTGCAGAATCTCAAACTCCTTGCCGCGTTTTTCAGAATCGCACATACAGAGTAACCATGTACACGTCGACTTATTTTTACTTAAAAAAACATCCCAGTACTGAGTACGTCTCACATTATTCCCAAAGTCCTAGGTAGTAACCTTTATCGCCTCCAAAATGTCGCCAAATTACCTGTTACCATATTCCAAAGATCAGCCTTTGTTTTATTTATTCAACAGCAGTTGCTGAAGAGTACAGCACTTCATTAATGACAGAAAAAAAAATCTATACGACACAGTTCACCCTCATTTGTCTTACCTCGCAGAGTTCATGTGGTGAAAGTCCTTGGGACGAGAATACTTCTTATGGCATATTAAAAGCAACTATGGGAACATGACAACCACAAAGTGTATGTGAGAAGTAAACATAAACTTGGAGATAAGCCTGGTGTTTAAAGAATGTGCTCGAGAAGGGGAATAATAAGGAATTACTCCTTTCTCTTTATTTACCTATGAGGGTATTTTTCGGTTATGCACCAGTCACGCATTTTGGCAGTACAATTGTAATAATATGTGTGCGTCTGTTTAATTATGCTGTTTGCACACACATACACACATAGCTGCCAGGTAGTGATATCGTTCAGTCTCAGCATATATTTGGCTTCTCTTTCACAGCTGCCAAAATACGTGTAAGGTGCATAACGTAAAAGTACCAAATTGTACATATATAGGTGAAAACACAAACTTTCTTGGATATTCATTTTCTAGAGTTTAAAATCATAAGAGGGAAAAAAAAAAAAAAAAATGCTAGCATATTCAGTGAAAGACTAAAAGGAAGGCATTTCCTTATTGCTAGTGTTTAAGAAACCAAAAACATGAAAATGCTTTCTACTCACCAGTGCTAATCCACCGGGGCTAAAAGATGCACAAGCATCTGAATTGTGACTAATAATTTTAGAAAACTTAATGCTCTCGAATTCTTGAAACATGTTAAAGACTTCAAATCATACAAATAATGGAAATATTTACTTGGAATTTAATAATGATATTTCAGATGTATGACAAATTCAGCAATCCCACTGCGTTGTTCATAACTAATTAAGAAGTTTAAGTAATTATGAACAACATTCGCAACCTTGTAAACTTTTTGTAAACTCCGCTTTTTGATAACATGTTGCCACATAGTTAGACCCAATTACCTACTTGAAAATCTCGTAAATTCATGAGTCTGGTCTGAAATGGATACGGATACATTCCTGCAAACTAACAAAAAAAAAAACTTTAAACTCTTTGCTGAAATGCATGGTGTGATATTCCAAAAATTCAAAGAAGTTGTCAAACATATCAAACAATATAGGTATGAGTATGGCAACGTTTGATTTTAATGGCGCCTAAACAATGTGACGGTTCACGTTCTTAAATGTATATGATGTATGTGTTCGTTAAGTGTTTTATAGATTTTGTTTTATGAACGTATATGTAGTTTCTTCCTACGATATTTGTTTTTAGCACAGACATATGCCCATGAAATGACTATTATTCTCCCGTATTGATTATGATTTTATGGTTAGATTTCTTTATTTGAAGATTATGGTAAGCTTAATATGAATGATTTTTTGTGAAAATAAATTTAATCATTACGATTAGGAAAGCATAAAAATTGTATTTATCTTAAGTTTTAAATTACAGAGAAATATGATTGATTCTTTAATTCTTTATTATTATCCTTGTGATATCCCTGATGCTGTAGCTCCCAATAAAAGGCTATATTTTGTGTAGTTTTACCGTAAACATTGCATATTTTGCTTTGCTACATTTTTGGCTAAAGTGCAGAATCGCCCACTTATTTGTTTGGTGTTTTTTTTTTTTTCTTTTTTTTTTTTTTTTTTCAAGAGTAAGAAGAATTGGATTTTTGTCAATTTTCTTTGACTTTTTAAGTGCAAATAGGTCGATGTGCACCTGGATACCGAGTGTGTGCAATTCTTAAAAACTCTTTAAGCGGTGGGCGATTCTGCACTCCCCCCAAAAAAATCCCACTATCGCTCATAAGATACTGGAAAACATCGCACAAACACAAAAGCGGCGGGAAATATTTTACGCCGCACCACTAAAACAATAAAAATTTGGCTAAAGTGCAGAATCACCCACTTATTTGATTGGCGTTTGTTTGGCACTTTTTACAAGACTAAGAAGAAGTAGATTTTCGTCAATTTTCTTTGACTTTTTAAGTGAAAATAGGTTGATGTGTACATGGATACTGAGTATGTGCAATTCTTAAAAGCGTGCTAAGCAGTGGGCGATTCTGAACTTTCCCCCCATTTCAGGACAAATAAGTGCATTTCCTTCTTTGGTGCAGCAAAATTTGTTGTGTTTTATTCCTCTGTAGTTATTTAACTTATATCTATTCGAGTGCAAACTACAGTTTTAAATGATCAACTGAATTTATGTATGAAATTCTTTTTTATTATTTTAGATCATTTTTTAAATGCAGTAATGAAAAATAAAAAGCAAAAATTCATTCCAGAAAAAAATCTGCTTTAAAGCGATTCGAACAAATAACATCAGCATGTACCGTAATTTCGCACGTATAGTCCGCAGACACGATTTTATATAAAAAAAAATTTAAAAATTGTCAGATAGTCCGCACCACCGGATAGTCCGCGGACTATACGTCCAAAATTACGTTTTTTTAATACGGCAATATTCCCAGCTTTTTTAAAAAACACATCCTTTTGTTTGCGCAAATTTCTCACCGCTTTCTTGTCCACTTCAAAATAACGGAGTAAAATCCTAGTATACGGTGCAGCCTTGGCGCGACTTTGAAATTATCGCCAACACCAAAAATGATCCAAAGAACGTCTATATATATACTATACACGCATATTATATATACTATATACATAGTAATACTATGTTTAAACTATATATTTTCTTTGAATGACCCCTTAAACTAACTACTCCATCGTATATGTCCCGTTTTAACTTCTGCTCATCAATAAGTCGCCAAAAGTAGTCAATCCCGTGTGCACCGGATACTAGATTAAACCAATAACGGCCCGCTTCTCTATTCCATCTTTTTCAGTTTTCTCAACTACCTCTGAGTTTAAACTCAGCAGTAAAACTCCGGCGATATTTCATCAACGTTATCGAAGATGAAAGACAAAATATGAAAACAAAATACTGTGCAATGTGCTATCTGCGTGATAAGTGGTAATGAAATATGACCTTCGACCTCACTCACTCGGTGTTGCCAAACCACTCTATAAGTAAACGAATCACGCTTTTTTTCCGTAATCCAGGTACTTGCTACTAAGGCTCCTAAAAATCGAGCTGACGCATCTACTACTTTTCCCCCCTCCCGGCAGTTGCGCTAAAGCAGTGCGAAGAATACTGGGATACTTGGAATCTCACGTTTTTTTTATATTTGATAATCGGCAGTTCACAACAGCATGTTTTTTAAATTTCAACAATTTTAACCGTGAACAACCAGCGTATTATCCGCACTGGTGGATAGTCCGCAGCTTCAAAAATTCACATTTTAAACACAGATAGTCCGCGGACTATACGCGCGAAATTACGGTAATTGAAATCAGGAATGACTAAACCATAAGTCGTAATTAGAAATTGTCAAAAATATAGAAGACCAAATTTTTGTTTAGTGGAATGTGCAGAATCACCCACCGCTTGGCACGTTTTTAAGAATTGTACGTACTCGGTATCCATGCACACATAGACCAATATTCACTTTAAAAAAAAAATATCCCAGAATTGCACAAAAATGGCTTTGTGCACTCAATTGACTTTATCCATGTACACATCGACCTATTTTCACTTAAAAAATTGACAAAAATCCAATTCTTTTTACTCTTGTAAAAAGTTCCAAACAAATAAGTGGGTGATTTTGCACTTTATTTGTAACAAATACAAAATACTATTTTGTATTGTTTAAATCTTATTTGAAATTACGAATATGTTTATAACATTTACATTTAAGTTTTACTTTATTGTATTTAGAACTTTTTTTTTTTTTTTTTTTTTTTTTTTTTTTTTTGAGTTGGGTGAAGTGCAGAATTATCACTTATTTGGCACTTTTTACAAGAGTAAGAAAAATTGGATTTTCTTCAATTTCTATTGACTTTTTAAGTGAAAGTAGATTGATGTGTACATGGACAAAGTGTAAAAGTATATTTACAGGCACCCCTTGGCGATTTTTGGCTGTACATGGATACCACATTTACGCAATTCTTTGGCTTTATCCATGTACACGTCAACCTATTTTCACTTGAAAAAACATCAGAGAATTGCACACTCCCTTGACTTTGCCCATGTAAACGTCGATATATTTTCACTTCAAAAGTTAAGGGAGCACCCAGTTCTAGGTAAAAGTATATTTACGGAACATTCAGCTACTCAAGTTACCATAAATGAAACAATTTTACGATAATGCAAGGGGTGCCCTTCAGTCTACTCTAACCGAACAAAGTCAAGGGAGTGCGCAATGCCAAGTTTGTGCAATTCTCTGATTTTTTTTAACCTTCCAGCACACGGTGTGTCGTATTTTTTACGACATCCGTTATTTTACCATTTTTGGCACAAAAAACAACAGAAATGACTGCTAATCTTTGGAATATGGTAACAGGTTGTTTGACGACATTTTGGTAAGGCGATAAAGGTTACTAGCTAGGACTTTAGCAGTGTACATGGATATAGTCAAGAGTGTGCGCAATGCCATTTTTGTGCAATTGTGGGATGTTTTTTAAAGTGAAAATAGGTCGACGTGTACATGGATGATACCATGTATGTGCAATTCGTAAAAACGCGGCAAGCAGTGGGCAATTCTGCACTTTGTCCCAATTTCGCACCTAATTTTCGTCATGATTAAGCACTTTTGTTCCATAAAAGTTCTAGCATAAGCGTAATTCAGCTAGCAGATTGTTAGAAATGTTGAGTTTAAAAAAAAAAAAAAAAAAAACTGCCTTTACTTCTTGAAAACAAAATGGCATCCAAACAAAAACTAGCAGGTTGCTGTTGCGGGGTTGGTCGCCAAGTTACCATAATCCAAAGATTAACCGAAATGACTGAATATTGACTGAATAAATTTACTTCTTACTGGTTACAAAAATGCACTTTAAACTAACTTTAATGTTTTTATTTATTTCTAAAAAATAGAAATAAAAGAAAATAAGGAATGGAAATAGCTGTTGTTCTCCCATACAAAGATTTCCTTTTCTTCAGATAATTCTTGAAGTATCCGAGCAAAATCAGCTGCTTGCATATATTTTTTTGCCATGAAAACCGATATAAAATTTACACAGCCAGATGTATTCAAATTAAAATAATACATGACAATTAATAACACAAAATATTTTCCGAATTTTAAAACAAGTACATGTTGTAACTTTTCCCCAGTTAGCACAAAAACCCAGTTAAAAAAAAAAGTCAAATGAATGTTATTATATTATAAAATATTGCATTCCTGCCGAAATTTTACTCAGTTTCTTCCATTACTAAGAAATTCGAAAAATGCATATTTTAAAGTAAAGTTTAAAAAAATGTTAGGAATTGTGCCTAAAAACATTGGAACTTGTATGGAATGCAATAAAAAGGGTTGATCTGTGGATTATGGTAATTTGGCGACCAACTCTGCTACAGCAACCTTCTACTTTTTTTTTCAGCGCCATTTTGTCTTCACGAAGTAAAGACATGTTTCTTTTCTTTTTATTTACTGAACACTTTTTCCAACAATCTGCTAGCCGAATTACACTTATGCTAGAAAGTTTATGGAACAAAACTGCTTAATCATGACAAATATTGACTGCAAAATTGGGAAAACGTGCAGAATCTCAAACTCCTTGCCGCGTTTTTCAGAATCGCACATACAGAGTAACCATGTACACGTCGACTTATTTTTACTTAAAAAAAATCCTAGAATTGCACAAAGATGGCATTGTGCACATTCTTCACTTTATCCATGTACACTGCTTTTTTCTCATAAATTAGAAAAATTTGCAGGAAAATTTTGTGAATCTTTAAACTCGGTAAAAAGCACATATATGAAATTAACCTGATCGCGAAAAAGTATCTACCCTTTCCAAGGATGAACATTTCCACATATAAAATAATTAAAATATCAAAAACTTTTCCCTCTAAATTATCTATTATAAAACGTCACCAACGAATTTATCACGCAAACATTAAAAATGGTTTCAAATACTTAGTGTCAAATATTTAAATTATTTCCATGCACGTTTACTTCTACTGAAACGTATTCGAAATTGCTACAAACATATAATTCACAAAATAACTGTCATTTAATTAAAATATAATTAAACCATGTACACGTCGACTTATTTTTACTTAAAAAAACATCCCAGAATTGCACAAAAATGGCATTGCGCACACTCTTCACTATATCCATGTACACTGCTTTTTTCTCATAAATTAGAAAAATTTCACGAAAATGCAGGAAAATTTTGTGAATCTTTAAATTCGGTAAAAATGACATTTATGAAATTACTTGATCGCAAAAACATATATGCCCTTTCCAAGGATGAACATTTGCAAGTATAAAATAAATAAAATATATAAAACTT